TCTGCTTCTGTCTTCTGGATGAGCTGGTAGAGAATTGGTATAATTTCATCCTTAAATGTTTGGTGGAACTCACCATTAACCTGTCTGTGCCTGGTGCTTTCTGTTCTGGAAGGTTATTAATTACTCATTCAATTGCTTTAATAGATGCAGGCCTCTTCAGATTGTCCATTTTTTTCTTGTTTGTGTTTTGGTAGATGTGTCTTTTGAGGACTTGGTTCATTTTATCTAGGTTATCAAAATTTGTGGGCATAGAGTTGTTCATGATTTTATGTTTCTTTCCAACACCATCAAGCAGTTCTCCGATTTTCAGTGAACACTGCCTCGATGTCCCACATATGTATTTAGCCCAGTTCTGACCCTCTCTACCTACCTAGAGATAGTGTCAGATTCCACAGGCGAAGGGCTTAGTCCCAGAAGACTGCCCTCACTCCCCACTTCACGTGACAGTTCAGGATGTTACCTGGGCTTCTGACTGACTGGCTATAATTTAAAGGCTCCCATGACCATCTCAGTATTATTAACTCATGGTAACATTTATTTAATATCTTTTTTATGTCCGTGAAATCTGTAGTGAGTTCTCCTCTTTCATTTCTGATATTAATGATTTGTGTTTTCTCTCTCTCTCTCTCTTTTTTTTTTTTTTGTTAGCCTGCCTACCGATTTTATTGGTCCTTCCAAACAACAAGCTTTTTGGTTGTACTGATTTTTCTCTAATTCTGTTTTCAATTTCATTGATTTTTATTCTAATTTTTTTATTCTCCTTTTTTTGAATTTAAGTTCCTCTTCTAGTTTCCTAAGGGGGAAGTTTATATTAGTGATTTTAGATCTTTTCTAAAGTATGTATTCAGATTTCCCATAATTTTCTAACGTATGTATTCAGCACTGATATCAAATGCCTCCTACAAATTTTGATGGGTTGTACTTTCATTTTTGTTCAGTTCATAATATTTTAAAATTTCTCTTTTTTTTTTTCATCTGTGTGTTACTTGGAAGTGTGTTATTTGATCACATATTTTGGGATTTCCCATCTAGCTCGTTAACAGTTTCTAGTTTAATTCCACTGTAGCCTGTGAACAGACATGTTTGATTTCTAGTTTTTAAAATTTGTTGTGGTGTGCATTATAGCCCAGAATACGATCTGTTTTGGTGAATGTTCCATGTGAGCTTGATAAAAATGTGTTCTGCTATTTTTGGATGGAGTGGTCTACAGATTCCAATTATATCCAGTTCATTGATGGTGTTGTTGAGTTCAGCTCTGTCCTGACTGATTTTCTGCCTATTGGAACTGTCCATTTCTGAGAGAGACGTGTTGAAATCTCCAGTGTATTCATCTGTTTCTCTTTGCAATTCCAGTAATTTTTGTGTCAGTTATTTTGAGACTCTTGTAGTTAGGCACACATGTTAAGGATTGTTGTCTTCCGGAAGAATTGACCCCTTTACTATTATGTAATGCCTCTATCCCTGATAATTTTCCTTACTCCAAGATTGGCTCTGTCTGAAATTAGTATAGCTACTCTTACTTCCTTTTCATTACTGTTAGCGTGGTATATCTTCCTCCATCCATTTGCTTTTAATCTATATGTGTCTTTAAAATCAGTTCTTATAGTTGACATATAATTGGATCTCATTTTTTGATCACTCTGGCAATCTGTGTATTTAGACCATTAATATTTAAAGTGATTATTGATATTGTTGGATTAATATCTACCATATCTGTTACGGTTTTCTAGTTGTACCCTTCTTTGTTCCTGTTTTTTCTTACACTTTTTCTCCTACCTTTTGTGGTTTAATTGAACATTTTATATGGTTCCATTTTCTCTCTTTTTTAGTGTATCAGTTATATAGATATTGCTACTTCCAGTGGTTGCCCTAGAGTTTATAATATACATTTTTGGGGAGGGGTTAATTAGGTTGGTTGGTTTGTTTATTTTACTAGAGGTACTGGGGATTGAACCCAAGACCTCATGCATGCTAAGCACATGCTCTACCACTGAACTATACCCTTGCCCACCTACAACTAGTCCAAGTACACTTTCAAATAACATTCCACCACTTCCGTGGTAGTACAGTCACCTCTAATCGTAAAATATTCTTATTCCTAATTCTTCTCTCTTCTTCCTGGTGTCCTTGCTGTGATTCATTTCACTTATACACACACCTGCACACACCACACACACATACACATATATACATATTTCCTATATCTTCTCCCTGGAGAACTTTTAAAAACATTTCTTGCAAGGCCAGTCTACTGGCAGCAAATATCCTCAAATTTTTTTTTTTGAGAAGTCTTTATTTCTCCTTTCACAGAATATGTAATCCTAGATTGTTGGTTATATTTTTTCCTCGACACCATTTCATTTCATTCTTTTCTTGCTTTCATGGTTTCTGAGATGTCATGTAATTGTTATGTTTACTACTGAATAGGTAGGGGTTTTTTTCTTCTGGCTCCTTTTTAATTTTTCCTTTATCTTTGATCTTCTGCAGTTTGAATAACATATGCCAAGGTGTAGAGGGCTTTGGGATTTTTTTGTTTTTGGTTTTGTTCTTTTTTTTTTTTTTGACATGTATTATGCTTGGTGTTCTTGGAGCTTCCTGGACCTGTGGTTTGGTGTCTTAACATTAATTTGAGGAAATTCTGAATAATTTTTGCTTCAAATATTTCTTTCTTCTCTCTTTTTCTTTTCAGCTATTCCAATTATGCCTTTGTAACAACTCTTATACATTTCTTGGGTAATCTGTTCCAATTTTTTTTTCCCCAGTCATTTTTTTCTCCTTGCTTTTCAGTTTTGGAAGTTCCTATTAACATATCCTCATACTCAGAGATTCTTGCCTCAGCTGTGTCCAGACTGCTGACAAGCCCATCAGAGGCATTCATTTCTGTTATCTATTTTTGATCTCTGGTATTTTTTTTTATTATTTTTTAGAATTTGCATCTCTCTGCTTACATAGTTCTTTGGTTCTTGCATATTATCTACTTTTTCCATTAGCGTTCTTAGCATATCAATGATATCAATGATAGTTTTTAAAATTCCTGGTCTGATAATTTCAACATCCCTGGCACGTCTGAGTCTGGTTCCGATGCTAGCTCTGTCTCTTCCAACTGTGGTCTTTGCCTTTTGGTGTGGCTTGCTGAGAGATGCATATGATGTCTTGGATAAAAGGAACACCAGCCTTTAGTGGTGTGATGGTAAGTTATCTATAACCCCGTGACTGGGTCTCAGGCTTTCAGTGAGCCTCTGACCCTGGGGTGTGAATTTCTCATGAGCTTCTCAGTGTCCATCCCCCAGACTCTCTTAGGTGGGACAAGATGGCTAGAGTGGGCTAGAGTTGGATATTCCCCTTCTCCCACCTGGATGGCTAGAGCAGGCTGGAGTTGGGAATTTCCCTTTCCCCAGGTAAGTTAATCTCTGGTGAAACCCTAGTTGGTTAGGTGCTGGTAAAATAATTTCTTTTGAGAGTAGACCTTGTTAAGAAGAGAATGCTCTGGCATATTTAAAGATAGTTACTGTTTCCCTCCCAGTGGAAAAATAGGGAAAATTTTCTGTGGTATTCTTGAGAAACTGGGAGAGCCCATGGAAGTTAAACACACAGAAGTGTTGGGACTCCCCCATGTCTAGGCATCTCTGGAGTTGTGACTCAGACTTGTGCACATTTACCTCCAGCAGTTTGTCCGTTTCAGTACACAGTTTTGTACCCAGTACTTGTTCCTGGGTTTCTGCTCTGTTAAGTTGTGATTCTGTGTATCCACCTGTCTGTATATCTAATTTTGAGGGCAGCAGTTTGCCCTGTGACCTCACTTCTGACGGATCTAAGAAGAGTTGTTGATTTTTCACTTTGTTTATTTAGCATTTTACTCGTTAGGGTGAAGTGATAACTTCCAAGCCCCTTACATGCTGCACTAGAAAATGGAAGTAATTCCCTGTTTTTGGTGCCTAAGTCTCAACTGTACGTGGTGTCTCCTTGTCTAGAAAAAATTTGCTTTACCTCTAGAAAGTAAACCATCACTCATTTGCTCAGAAGGTGAGAGATGGTTATTAGAGCCCTTGAGTAAGGAAGCAAAGTAGGGACTACCCACCTTTCAGACAGCATTAACCCCTTTTGCTACCTTGAAATCCTCTTTTCTACTTCATTCTCAATCACAGGCACTTTTTCTGCTACCAGTGCTTGAATTTTCTGATGCTGGTTCTTAAGCTTTTTTTTCCTTAAGCTTCTTTTTTTTTTTTCTTACTGCCAATATGTGATTCACCTTTCTTAGATCTACTTTCTAAGTAGTTTGCAATGTATCTATATTGTCCTATAGCTTTTGAGATATTGTTGGTGTTATTGCTTCTTATGTTTTCCTTATCCTTGTGTGTTTGTCTTAAAAAAAATACCTTTATTGTAATTAAGAAAGGGAGCTAAATTAGATGATTTGGTTCAGTCTGCCATACCTCTGTTGTTTTGAACTTGTCAAGTTTTTATTTAAGGGAAAATGTTCAATTAAAGCTGGATTTGGTTTCCCCACCCCCCTTCTTAGAAACCAAAATCAACAAAACTAGATAATTAACTAATTTGATTACCTGAAACATTTTGATAGAGATCTGTACTTAGTCATGTTCTTCTGCTGGCAACTAAAGCTAAGAATTATTTGACAAGGAAAATATTCCTTATTTTAATCTTTGTATATGCAGAAAGGGATAGACCTCTGTGTGTGTGTGTGTGTGCGTTGGTGTGTTTGTGCATGTGTATGTGTATGAGTTTATAAGGAAAAAAATCAATGGCCTATTTTTTTATGCTAAGTAACAAATGAAGTGTGAATGGGGAAAATAATTGTGATAGGTACTAAACGTGCCCTACTGCCTTTTAAAGATGGATTTAAATATTTCATTAAGCAAACACTGACAGCTATTCTGATTGTTGATATTTGATTACACTACAGTTTGATAATTTGAATGTGATCATTTACCTCTTAAAATAAAAACAATAACATTTCTGTGATTTCTTTTTATAATATGTAGAGAAAGCAACCAGTGAGATGAATACTGCTGAGGATTGGGGCCTCATTTTGGATATTTGTGATAAAGTCGGTCAGTCTCGCACTGGGTAAGTGTTTCGAAGTTTCAAAGCATTTTTATTTATTCTTCCCTTTTATTAACATGAATAAACCAAGCATTAGAAGGTAAAGCATATTGCAGTCACAATTCAATTTAGAAAGAGAATGTTTTCTCAGGCAAGATTGGAGGAATCACCCCATTTAGGTTACTCCTTATAACCAGAAGTAGCATGACTGGGAACAGTGTTGATACTGTAATTATTCACCCTTGTCCATGTTTGCCTCCCCAAATCTAGCTTTTCCCACTGATTTTTAAAGTCATCAATGATCTCTCAGTCACCAGTTTTTCTGGTAATTTCTGAGTTCGTTTCTTCTTTGTCACATCTGCCTGTTCCACCCAGCTAATCAGTGACTATTGAAAGAGAGACATTTTTAGGAAAATGGAAACTGTATACTTCCTGGGATACAGACTTTTTGGTAATACAGGGCTTTGCAAACAGTGCAGTGAGGGGATTAACTGATACACACATGAACGGTTTCTTTAATTCCTGGGCTAATAGCATCCAGTTATTAATAGCCACATTCACCCCTTTGTGCCACACAAATTATTGTCTCATTTTTGTACTTCCTTATGAGGAATGTTCAGAAGCACTGCTGTAGCATACTTGGTTCTTCTGGTGGGAATCTGAACCCTCTGACAGTGCCTTCTCTGGCTCTTCTTCCTTCCCTTCTAAATACAGGTAGTTCCTCATGTTGCTTTGATCCATTTTTTTTCCCTAACATTTTTTTTTCTCTGTAAATCTCACAGCTTCTGGGTGTCTTTATGTGAGTGACACCTGTATTTTCAACTCTCATTCTCTTACCCAAGCACTGGTCCTGTGGATGCAGCACCGTTTCTAACATCATGCTATGTAAGCCTCGGTCTCATCTTCCAGGAACCTGAACTCATGTCTCTTGGCTTTAAACCCATGTTCCCTCCTTTGTTTCCCGTCTTCCTTGTCTCTGTTACTGACAAGGTTATTCTTTCATTTGCACTTGAAACCTCAGGCTCATCTCTGCAATTAGTTTCTTACTAAATTCTATCAGCTCACCACCATCATGTCTCTCACGGTGTTGATGCTGTGCAATCTCCTTAGTTAAGTTCTTGAACACGGTCACACCAGGCAGGGCCCTTTGTCCTCAGAGCCTTTCTGCCCCTTCACTTGAGCCCGTTTAGCTTGTAACGCACTCCCCTTGGCAGGTTCCCGAAACTGTGGTTTCCACATGTGGCTCACCCGTCCCCTTTGATGAATACACATTTTAGTGTATGCAGTCTTGTTCTTTCCTGCCTGCTTAGTTCCCTAATTTAATTGAAGTTTGAGTAGCTACTGTGTGCTGTGTGTCTGTTCCTTTTTTGCTTTTCTCTTGGCCCCAGTTGACTGGAGACATCCTTAACCGTACCTAGACTAGTGCATTAACCCGTTGGTATTTCCTTCTGCTTCTGCCTTTTTTCTGTCCGTCTCTTAGAGCCAGTTGCCACATAACAACTCTGACCGTGTTACACCTGTACCTTCCGTGCTGAGCTAAGTCTAGTAATCTCCTTTGGCCTCTGAATCACTTGTTCTTCATTTACTTCTTCTGTAAATGCCATTCTTTTCAACTCATATTTGAGTTGCCAGTGCTTTTCTGCCTAATTTTAATGTTTTTTGGTCATTTTGTACCTTCAGTGTGGAATATTCTCTTCTCCCATTCCCTGTCTCTGTCTCATATCCCTCCAGACCCGCAATGGGTATTATTTCTTCCACAGAGCCTTTCCTTATCCCCGTTACTGAAAATCATTACTGATAATCTGGATCCTCAAAGCACTCTATCAAAACCATTCTTGTTTGTGTTTTGTCTTGTATAATAGCAATTTATGTATATCTAGTCTACTTGGATTGGTAGGCTGAAAGTCCTATGAGTTTTTGTTGTACAGGGGAAAGTAAATACCTTAGTGGTTGAGAGTGTGGACTCTGGATTGAGGCCACCTGGGTTCAGATCCTAGCTCTTGACTGCTTAGCTGTGTCATGTTGGGTAAATAGTAACTTAACTTTTCTAGTTTGCTACAGAAGAATAAAAATAGTCTCTTTTACATAGGGGCTTGTTTTGAGTGTGAGATTAGTCAAAATATATATATATATAAAGTGTTTATAGTGGTGTCTGGCACATGGTTAAATGGGTGCACCTTTGTCCTTTTCTGAGGAGAGTGCTATTTTATGACAGTTTGTCTGTTGAGGACTAGCTTACTGACCTAGCTCCATCCCTGTATAATTTGGAGATAAAACTTTTATATAGCTTTCCAGTTGTAAGGGCCCTTCTCTTTTTTCACTGTCACTTTTCTTTTTGTCTTTGGTTTGCTGTTCTTCACTTTGTAGATATTTTAAAATAATTAAGTTAGTTGCTTGAGATGAAGAGACAAACTCCTTTTCATTACTAGAAATATTCCATATTTTTCTGGTTGAAAAGTAAATTTGTAACCCACCTAAAAATCCTGTATGATATATAATGTAGGTAAATAAATCAGTTTGTTTTTCTTCAGTTAACATTCTTATACTAGAAACAATAATTTGTTACATTTTCCCTATTTTTTTTTCTTGTGATGAGAACTCAAGATCTACTCTCTCAGCAACTTTCAGATATACAATAAAGTATTGTAACTATCATCTCCATGCTGTACATAATCCTCAGAACTTATTTTTTAACTGGGAGTTTGTACCTTTTGACCCCTTTTATTGATTTTGCCCACCCCCCACCCTCCCCCGTCTGGCAACCACCAATCTGTTCTCTGTTTCTGTGAGTTAGATTCTATTAGATTCCACATATCAGTGAGATCATATAGCATTTGTCTTTCTCATTCTGACTTATTTCACTTAGCATAATGACCTGAAGTTTCCATCCATGCTCTCCTTATATATTGAAAATGTACTTATTTGTAGCTTTAAAAAATTATTTTCTATTTGTTTTTTGTCATTATCTAGTATCATTAGGTTTAGCTACATGCTCATTTTTTACTTTTTCAAATTTACTTTAGACAACATACTCAATATTTTCCTTAATATTTCATTATCCATTGGAGATTTTAATTGACATTATGCTAAGTCTAAATTTCCTTAATAAATCTTTTCAACTTTGCTAATTTAAATGAGAGGTGGTTCTATTTTTAATATTTTTTCCTTTCCTCTTTCCTTTTTTTCCTTCCACTAATTTTTTCTTCCTTGGAAGTTCTTGCTCTTCAGTTCCTTTAAATTCTGAAGTTAATTTCCAGCATTGATTTGTTTATGTAAATATGATATCTCTTTATAGTTCATATTAATAAAGAATTGTTTGAAAAGTATTGTATATAAGTGAGATACCATTCTGATATTCCTGGGTTTAAAAAAAAAATCAAACCCACAAAATTCACTCATGTCTGTGATTTTTCTCTAAAAATAATGTTTATGTACATGTCTAGTAGTATTTTCTCGTTCTTGCTGTACCTTGATAATTTCATAGTAGGACGTGATAAGCATCAGGGCCGCATTCCTACTTGCATGGGCCCTGTGCACTTTTTTCTTCCTGGGTCCTTTTCTCCATTAAAAAAATAGTAAAATATTTTATGACTGCATTGCTATAAAAGTAAATGTACTATTAGTCATTAAAACATTTTCTTTGATCTAAAAGTTCATCTTTTTGTTATTTTAAAAGAAATTAAAACATTTTTGTGGGCCCCTGAATTTGTGAGCCCTTGGTGTTGTGCCTGCATGCCTAAGAATAACTATTACGGAATTGGGTTCTGTATTCTCAGGTCAGCTTAGTAATAGAAAACTATTAAGGTTCTTTTCAAGTGAGCAGTAAACTGTGGGATACTTGTGGTAGAGTTCCTAATGTTACCGAGTCCAAACTTGTTCTGCTCACCACACGACAGGTCAATAAATCGGGAGATGAGGTGTTGGGGCAAGGAATAGCGACTTTACTCGGAAAGCTGGCAGACTGAGAAGATGGCAGACTAACGTCCTGGAGAACCCTCTTCCCCAAGTCAGAATTCAGGCTCCTTTTATACTACAAATGGTGGAGGGAGGAGGGAGGATGTGGTAGGTTGTTGCAAACTTCTTGGTGTAGGAATTCTTTGTTCTTGGAATCCTTTCTTCTTCAGCTGTCCACTTTGGTGAGGTCATGGTGCCCCTGTGAAACCTCTAACACAACAAATGTTGTTTTCTATTATGCAACTTATTATCTTTATAGAAGTACAAAAGTGTTAATATCCTTAAAGATCAGAGCCTTGAGAATAGCCTCTCCTGTATACGTCAGGCTACAGGCAACATTCTTTTACAACAGGTGCAGAGCTAGCAAGACTAAGCCTAGGAAACAGGGCTCAGGGTTAAAGCCAAAGCAACAGCTCCATGTGGAGTCAGATTTGTTGCTTTCTGTTACACTAATATATCATTTATTTACTTATTTTTATTACGGTAAAATATATATAGCATAAAACTTAACGCATTAACCATTTTTAAATGTACAGTTTGTGGCATTCAGTGCATTCACATTGTTGTGGCATCGTCATCCGTATCCCATCTCCAGAACTTTTCATCATCCCCAGCTGAACTCTGCTGGTTAAACAACTTACCACTCCCCCTTCCCAGAACCTGGTGACCGCTTCTAGTTTGTTTTTAATCTTTTACATCATTTTATAATTATTTATATGGAAAATTTATAGTGACCTGGTTTATGTTGTCAAGGAACCTAGATACACAGGTTTAGATATGGGTTGCTGATGATAGTAGCATAAGAATATTAGAAAGTATTGTAGGTTGTCAGTGAGATGCTTTGGATACCTGGTGTGCTTTAGAAAAGACTTGAGACATGTAATTGGTGTGAGAGGGAAAAGGGAACAGGAGTTTTCCTGAGGTGGATGTAGATACAAGGCAAGTGGAAGTGGAGGGAAGTTATGGATGGGAATGCAATTCCTAAGGTTATTTATATACTAGGCAACGGTCTAGATTTTTTAAAAAAGCATTTCCATGCGATGTTAGTTTGTAATTTTATAAAATGTACA